CAGAACATGAGCAACACTGCTGCCGGGGACCACTTAACACACCTTAAGTTCCCAAAACAAACCAGAAACTCTTTCAACCCTCTCATCCAAAGAGAAACTGTTTATTCCTTTCAAACTCCCAACTATTACAATAGCACATGCTAATTGCCAGCAATGCTGGGGGAAAAAAATCCCCCACACAGGAAAGGCTGACAGGGTCACACAAAGAGTTGTGACAGTAATAGGCACCCTTAAAGAGAGAGAAGGCAATCAATTATGAACCATTTGCAGAAATTGCGGGGCTGTCAAAAGCCCTGGTTACAGCTGTGTTTCATCAAGCCAGGCTTGGTGTGATTTTCTATGGAAATTATTCCTTATTCTCAGTTGCAGAATACTTGTTAGTAAAATATCCCCAGTGGCCCGGATTCAAACCAGGTTCAACCCAAGTCTAATCTGAAAAGAAGCCAATGACCCCTGAGAAGACCGGGGAAGCAGAGGCTACTTCCTCAGAGTCAGGAGCTCCTCGTAGAGGACAGAGCACAGAGGAGCCTTGGAAGGTCCTCTCCCAGCCCATACCAGGCATGTGCCACCGCACTGGAAAAACAGAAGGAGATGGCTAGTGACTGACTATAAGCTGCTGTTCCTAAGAGGTTAAAAAATATTGCACAAAACATTTTTTCAATCCTTAAATTTGAAACTTTTTCTTCCTTTGAACTGACACCCATCACAACTGTTACTTTGGATGGTCACCGAAGTCTGTTTTCCCCCAAGAATCAAATAACCTGTGAGCCACGCATTTCCCTAATTTTTCTTAAATGTACTGAAGTCCATTATTACATGTAGATCTCGTCCTATCTGAAGAAAGGTGAAGAGGACTTGAGGGGAATTTGACAGGAATTGCTTTGCCTGCTCACACAGGTTGGGCACCCAATCCTATGCCCCACATTAAATTCCATACCTGAGCTTGTGTGAGGGGTCACGGGCAAAATACAAGTCCATGCACTAAAACCCTGTAAAAAATTACTTTCATGTTATGTGTACAAGGAGTGTATGAAACATAAATGAATTTCATTTACACTTGGGTCACATCCCCAAGATACTTCACTATATACAATCCAATATTCCAAAATTTGAAATCTGAAAGAATCATCTTATTAAAAAGTTTTGTATAGCAAAAGAAACTACCAACAGAATGAAGAGACAACCCACAGAATGGGAGAAAATTTTTGCCAGCTGTTCCTCAGACAGAGGACCAATATCTAGAATATATAAAGAATTCAGAAAAAATAAGACCCCTCCTCCCCCATAAGGACCTAATCCAAAAATGGGCATCTGAAATGAATACACATTTCTCAGATGAACCAGAAATGGCAAATAAACATATGAAAACTGTTCAACATCACTAGTCATTTGGGAGATGCAAATTAAAACAACACTGAGATTCCATCTCATCCCAGAAAGAATGGTTATTATCAAGAAATCAACCATAACAAATGCTGGCAGGGCTGTGGGGAAAAGGAACCCTGCTCCACTGTTGGTGGGAGTGCAGACTGGTGCAACCACTGTGGAAATCAGTGTGGAGAGTCCTCAAAACACTAAAACTAGAGGTTCCATTTGACCCAGCTATTCACTTCTTGGTATCTTCCCAAAAGAATTAAAAGCGCCATACCACAGTGATATATGCACACCCATGTTTATAGCAACACAGTTTGTAATAGGTAAATCTTGGAAACAGCCCAAATGCCCATCAACCAAAGAATGGATAAAGAAGATGTGGGGTTTTACTACAATGGAGTACTACTCAGCCATAAAGAATAAACTTGAGACATGTCTATGTAAATGGATGGACCTTGAGACCATACTCTTAAGTGAAATAAATTGAACACACATGTTTAAATAACACATGGTTTCTCTGATGTGAGAAATCAAAAGCATAAATAAGGACCAAAATGTATAAGAGACATTGTGAAATAGAAGAAAATGTTCAAATGGGAAGGGAAACTAGGGAAGGGGGAGGGGAAAGAAAGGAAAGGAAAAGAAAAGAAAAAAAAAGAGAAGAGAAGGAAAAATGGAAAGAACGAGGGGAAGAGGGGTTGAAGGGAGGGAGGGAAATGGGGGGAAAAGAAGCAAGATATGTCATGCACAGGTACATATTCCCTATGATGAATGCAATCATTATGTATGTCTAAGATGTACCAATGAAATTAATTTTTTAAAAATTTAAAAATAAAAAAGGGCTGGGGATATAGCTCAGTGTGAAGGTACTGGGGTCAATCTCCAGTACAGGAAAAGAAAGAAAGAAAGAGGAAGAGAGAGGGGAAGGAAGAGAGAGGAGGAGAGGAGGAGAGGAGGAAAGAAGGAGGGAGGGAGGGAGGGAAGAAGGGAGCCAGAAAAAAGAAACTTATGTGGAAGGTGTAATACTAGCAGGCAGATACCCCATGGTGACCAATGAAGAAATTAAGGGTCCAATAGATTTCAAGTGAACCAAGGGTATGTGAGATTTTTAACCCTCCTTTTTCCAATATTGACTCTGCAGTGGGTGATAGGGGTTGGCTGAAAGAAAGAAAGAGAGACAGACAGACAGACAGACGGACAGTGAGAAGGCAGATCTGAAACACCTCTGATCCCATTTCAGTTCAAGGACATTTAACCTGTATTCTCTTTCCACAGGTTTTTTTCTTCTGAGTTCTCTGATATGTATGTATGAATAAGTGTATTAATGAATAAATGTTTTTTATGTATTTGCTTTCTCCCTTCATCATTTTTTTTTGATACGAGGAATCAAACTGAGGACCTTGTGCTTGCGAGGCAGGCGTGGGGCCACTGAGCTAAGTCCCCGGCCCTCCCTCCATCATTTTTAACAATGGAAATTAAAGTGCAGATCACCCTAGTTACAATTTGAACTGCAGCTTTTACACCCAAACTTCTAAATAATGCTCCAACACTCACTTTGCAACTACTTTGCTTAGCTGCGATAGGCACCATCCCAAAATAAGATTTGAAATGGCCTTAACGAGATAACTTTCCACATAATTCTTTTATTCAATAAAAAAGTAACAAATTTAGGGAAATTTCCTTCCTAAGAACATTAATGTATAACCTAAGCTGATTATCACAAAGAGAAAATCATTTTCTCCTGGCAGCATTAAGTGTTAAGTGATTTCCCCCAAGTACCACAGTGCCAGTGCCCCAGGGCACACTCCCCTTAGAGAACCTTGTCGCATGAGTGTTTCAGGAGCATGTGCTCTTTTTAAAATTTTTAAGACAAAGCAACCAAAACACATCTATCTGATACTGTAGGATCGCCCAGAGACTTAGCTCAGTGGTTTCGCCGCCTGCCCTGATACTGTAGGATCCAGTGTGCATTAAAAAAAAGATGGATGTTAGCTATGATATTAGATTTGCCAAAGTAAATAAGCCCCCAGAGATAGAACAGAGTAGTTAAGACTAAAAATGCTGATGGATTTCAGTTTAGTCAAAGCACTTGCTCCCAAGGGGTATAACCAGAGTAGTGATGGTCTCTAGGAACCAGGAAAGGGAGGAGAGATGGGGAGAGGAGGAGGAAATGGGGGAGGAGTGCAGGAGAGAGGAGGGAAAGGGAGAGGAGAGGGGAGGGCGAGGCTGAGTGCCCAGGCCACTCAGGCTGGAAGGCTATGCCCCATCCTCCCTTCACGGTGACCACCACCAACCCAGGGGAGGCGCCACATGGCCTCGCACCAAGGGACCGGCTCCTGGTGGTGTGGGTTTAAACCCAACTGGCACCTGGTCCCGCCCCAACTTTTATTTAAATAACTGTCACTGCTTACATTTCCTCCATTCCCCTTTAAGACAAAAACCAGGAAATAAGAGAACAGAATTATCACTTCAAAATCTAGACTGGACATGAAAATACATCATGCCAGACCATTTCTGAAAGGATAGCTGAGTACTAGCAGTTAATACAGGAAAGGGATGGACTAGGACAAGCACTGCTGAGGGTGTGGAGAAACTGGGGCCCTGGATCCTGGCTAAGGGGAAAGGCAAAAGGGTGCAGAGGTGGGAAGGACAGCGGAGGTGTTCCTCAAAAAGCTGAGTGGAATTACCTATGATTTGACAATTGCTCTTCAAGGTGTTTCCCCAAAGCACAGAAAACTAGGATTCAAACAGGTGCTTGTGGACAGATGGTCACTGTATCATCACCCAAAACTTCCAAGTGGGGGCAACAACCCAAGCATCTATCCGGAGATGAATGGTCAACAAAATGTGCTATAGAAATCCAAGGGAATATTATTCAGCCTTAAAAAATAATGAAAAGGGGACAGAGGCTACAACATGGAGGAAGCCTTAGATGATATTGTGTTACATGAAATAAGCCAGAAATAAAAGACTAACATTGTATGATTCCACTAATATATGAGGAACTTAAAATTGTCAAAAGAGAAGACAGTATCACTGAGGTTATCAGAAGGACTGGGAGAAGAGGAGAAGGAGAGTTAGGGTTTGGACACAGAGCTTCTGTCTGCAATAACAGAAAAGCTCCGGAACAGAAAGGGGAGATGGTCACAAAGCAACACGAATGTACTGAGTGCCACTGAAGTGCACATTAGCAAATGGTAACCATGGGCTACATATGTTTTACAGCAAGATGACAACATACCAATGATAATTTATCTTTGGCTAAAATAAAAGTGGGAAAGAAAAAGAACAGTAACTTAACAAGACTTTCAGGACACCAGAGTTTAGGATTTCCTTGTCTGAACAACGCAACGAAATGCTCCTAATGCAAGAATGGTATTGCTCGCTTTGCTCTTTGATGGTGTTCAGGAAGTCACAGAGGCATTCTGCCTAAGTCAATGGTTCTTCTTGGTACTCGCCTCAAAAACAAATAAAAAGGAAATATTCTTAAAGGGAAAAAAAATGCTTGTATCAACCGCTGGAACTCAGGACGAAAATACCACCTGCTATTTCCCCACCTCAGGTGAAGGTGGGAATTAGCCCTTGCCTGCTTGGTTCTTGGTTTGCCATCTGAACCAGCATCTTACCCTGAATGTCTGCTCCATTTTCTCTCGATGGCTGACTTGATCCAGAGTACCATCTGTCTGACTCCTTTTCATACCAGTTGTGATGTCAGGGACACTGCTGAAATCTGCAAGAAAAATGAGACACACATGAACTTGCCCACCAGCAGGGTAACAGTAATGAATGACTGGCATTAAGGAGAGGAAAGAAGAAAACATTAAGGATGGAGAGGCAGCACACAGTGGTCATTACCCACTCTGAAGTCACATAAGCATAGCTCCAGTCCTCTAGCTAACTGAGGTCAAAGGGACCAATCAAAATACTGACTTCAGTGTCTTATTCATTCTTCCCATTGTTGTGGAAAACATATTTCACTGATTTCTGATCTTAAATAATTTTATCTGAGTAAAGAATTAAAAAACATTGACATTTGTTCATATGTGCCTATTTTTGGCTAAGTGAGGGCAAAGTTACTGCAATAACTTGAAAAATTAATGATGCAACGTAAGAGACACTTAAAGTCCACTATTTATTCACTTGTAAGTATAATTCTTTTTCTGAGATCAATCACAATCTGGTCTTAAATTGAAGTCCCACTTGTTAACATCCAGAGAAAAGGAGAAGATACTTACACTAAGTACAGCGCATGGTTTTCCAGCCTACAACTGTACACATATCCCATCCTCAACAGTTCCTTCCTCTGATTCTCAAGTTTACATATTCAAGAGAAACAGAAAGACCAGAATCTATTGGTGCAACCACTGTGGAAATCAGTATGGAGATTCCTCAAAGAACTAGGACTAGAGGTCCCATTTGACCCAGCTATTCCCCTGCTGGGTATCTTCCCCAAAGTATTAAAAGAATCTTACCACACTGATATATGTGCACCCATGTTTACAGTGGCACAGTTTGTAATAGTTAAAACTTGGAAACAGCTCAAGTGCCCATCAACTGGAAACTGGATAAAGAAGATGTGTTTTTTTCATAAAATGTAGTACTACTCAGCCATAAAGAATGAGACATTTATAGCTAAATGGATCCATTGAGGCCATACTCTTAAGTGAAATAAACAGGATAACATGTGTAAATACCGAATAGTTTCTCTGGTGTGAGAAACTGAAAGTGTAAATAAGGACTAAAATGACTAAAACGAATAATTGATAATTTGAAATAGGAAGCAAAGGTCCAAAGGGGTAGGGGAAGTGGGAGGGGAAGGGGAAAGGAAAGAAGGGAAAGGAAAAATCATGAGAAAAGAAAAAAATGGAAGCAAAATCTTTGTAAATAGGGAAGGGTGAAGTGGGCAAAGGGAGGGGAAGGGAGTGGGGAAAAAATAAGAACCAAGATACATCATGTACAGGTACAAGTACCTAGTGAGAAATGTAAACATATCGTATACCTAAAATGTACCAATAAAAGAATTTAAGCAAAAAAAAAGTCCAGAATCTACCAAAACATAACATAGGGTTTCTTTCTCATTCTGATATTTAACAGACTAATCCCAAGTAGCTGTAAGAGCAACCAGCCTGTCTGAGATAGCTGAGCCCAAGACAAACCTGCTGACCAAGGAACTGTCCAGCATGATGCTGGGGCAAGGAAAACAGTCCCCCACAGACCTCTAGAGACTCTGGGGGCCCTGAAAGGCAGACAGCTGGAGGGTAGGAATGTAGTTAATCCATGATGACATTACCAATCACACCACATGCATTTACTTATAAGAGAAGGTAGGGCCTCCAGAAAACATAGTAATGGTCTATAGAATTCTGCAACTCCAATTTCTTTTCTTTGCCTTTCCCAATACCTGGTTCCACCCAGAAAAGGACCATATAATGAGAGTCATTCTTCAAGGTTGTTATTTCTAGAGTTAAGTTAGCCTAGATAAGGCAGTGCCTATGGCAAAGGCAGGGGCCGTCCCTGGGGAAATTGTGAGTATCAGTGGCATTGAAAAGTACTGGGCTTGTCTCTCCCAGACCCTCCGTCCACACCTCAGAGGCAGTCCACTGCCCAGCAGAAGAGTGTAGTAGATGAGCCCCTCAGCCAAACCCATCAGCCACCACTCCTTTGCGCCAGCCTCCTGCCTCCAATATGTACACCTTTGTCTAGAGAAACCACTACATAATTCACAAAAGAAAAACAGGCCTCACTCCTATGGCTTGAGCATATGTGCATCTTTCCATCCACGCACTCAGTACACCCTTTCAGCGCTGGCTGCTTCCAGGCACTGTGCTAGGACAGGGACTACAAGGATGAAAAGACATTCTCAAGCTCTGCTTCCCATGTGGAGAGAGGTGACTGGTGAGGGAGACGGAGGCAGAGACATGAGTATGACAAAGCGCAAGGAAAGTCAGGCCTTAAAAGACTACGTTTTAAAAAATGTCTGAGCAAAGTCTTAAATCTGAAGGGTGATTGTATTAAAGATAAAGATGAAGAAGATAGGGTGGGGTGGGCAGTGGGGAGAAGGGAACCTGTGAGTGGGAATCAGCTGAGTAGAGACAAATGGTATGAAGAGCTGAGCATGACTGAGGGCGGGGGCCTTGCTGAGTGTGGCAGCAGCAGAGAGCACAACATGGAGGGAAGGAGGCAGGGTGCCCCAGGATGGGCAGGGAGGGCAAGACCTGGGCAGAAAAACAGGTCAGAAAGTCACAGCAACACTGCAAGTATGAGGAATAAGGACCCATAAGAAAAAAGAAAAAGAATAAAGTCCAAAGAACAAGCAGTGGCAGAGTTTGAGGAGACAGACTCCACGGGTCTTCTCACTGTCACCTATTAAATACAGAAAGAGGGGTTATCAAGGGAGAGACGTGCTTTTGATGTCTTAGATGACTTGATAGATGGGGACAGAGGAAGGGGTAGGAATGGGGACAGCAAGCTTAGCTTTAGCAATGCCGAGTTTGAGAAACAACTGGACCACCCCATGGCAATGGTCAGTGGTGGCCCAGAGAGGTCTTCACAGAGACATGAATTTGGAAGTCATCAGAATGTACCTGACAGTGAAGCCAAGGGGGTGGACGCCACCTACCAGAGAGAACCTGCAGGAAACCCTGGAGACACCAGTGCAAAGGCGTACGCGTGAGGAGACCCTTATAAGTGATGGACGCTCTTTTTTTTTTTTTTAAGGGAAAAGAGAAGTCTAAGGAAACCAAGAAAGAGCAGTATCACAGAAGCCACACAATGTGAAAGAACATTACCTAGGTAACAGAATCAAATTTGCATTATTACTGCCTTTACCTTGTAAATAAAGGGTTTTGGTATTTCCAAAGAGTTATATCAAGCACAGGAAATATGACACACAGTCTGCATATGCATTCATTCAGGATGAAGATTTCCACAGCACCTACAGTACAGCCAACAGGTACTAAGAACTGCAGATACAGAGATGAATGAGACTTCCAGTCCTCTGAAGAACTCAGGGAGCAAGGGCATAAGGAGCTTTGGAGTCTGAGGTACCAGATGGATGCTAGTGAAAATAGCACGGGAGATGTCAAAAGTAGGTGCCAAGTGAATTCTGAGTCAGTCATTCAATATATTGGCAAAACTTTAGAACTTAAATGTGGAAAACTCCCCAAATCACTGTTTCTTACAAAGAGATACTCTTTGCTTTCAGGTGAGTGAGAAGAAAAGCATGGCATTACCCTGTAGCAGAACACTTGAGACCTTTCTTATTAGAATGCTGCACCTCTAGACTAAAGGGCTGGCTCAGCAATGCATTACCCACCACCTTTAGTGTCCCTTAACTCCACAGAGCCTTTGGATGTTGCAAAGAACCTTTCTAAGCCATCCTGGGAATAGCCACAGGAAACTATTCCCATAGAGTCTGGTCCCCAGGATCTAAGAGAAGGCAGCTCCAAAGAGTTCCTGAGATCTGCCAAGACAGGAAATCTCAGAGCTGATCCACCACCAAGATTCCACAGAGGCAGAATGTATCTGGACAAACACAGGGCCCTATACAGGGTCCCATGGTGACCAACAATGTGCCAGTGCTACCCTGTGACAATACACAGAGAGAGCTGAGCTTGACAGTGCCCACAGCTGCCAATCTGGCTCTAAAAGTGTAAATCTGACTAGGTCCTACGTTCCTGCAAAAGTTGTGTGTGCTGGCCATTCTTTCTAGAGAAGAAATAAGAAAAAGGTACATTCTGGAAGAATAGAAGCCTAGCTATGAAAAGAGTAGGCTGGTAAAACCCGAATGCTTATTTACAAAGCTGTTTCAAACAGGCACCCTGTCCTGGGTGCTGAATGCCTACACACCGCCCCACTTACACTCTGCCCACATTCTGAGCAAGGGCTGCTAAAGGGAGTAAATATATCTTTTCCCCTCCCTACAAGAAACTGGCTCGTGGTACAGCCTCACCAGGACATATACACTGTAACATGTTTTAGGGGGCTCTTTTCCCCTATGGGATAACACTAAGCATTTGATTCCTGCCCATCCTGCAATCTGTGCTGGATAGTATCAACCCCCAGACACCTACTGAAGAATGGCTGAAATCACTGCAAATATGAAAAATAACTGATTTATAAACTCAAGTTAAGAGAGCTGTTTATAACTGTATAACCTTTTGTCTTTGTCATCTTATTCTTTGTGGAAGCTAAGTTTGGATGAAGTCTAATACTTGAAAACAATCTAACATTTAAGGCAGCCAAGAAGAGCTTCTACCTTTAGTTGATGAGCAGAGGTGCAATACCCCAAGTTTTAGTCTTGGCTCCTCTATCAGGTCCTGCTCATTTCAATTTGCTGACTCCTACATTCAGACAGGTGCCAGGCACTGAGCATCCGCCAGCTCCCAAGTACTGCATCAGGTGCCATAATGACCAGGCTCAGCCTTCTTTCTCCTTTAATCAACAAATACTTTTAGAGATGGACAACACACCAAGCAGGCTGTCATGGAAAATGACTGTCTCTCCCTCCGTTGCATGCCCTATAGTTCCTGGCGGGCACTGTGGAAAACACAAGGCTTTAGGTATGAGACACCTAGCAATTCAGTTTCTTCCTAAACTATGTATCAGTACATCCCCCATTAGTGCCACTGTCAGCCAACTGGCTGGCAACCCCAAGTCCTTTACAATTAAAGGGCAAAACCTGTGTTACAGTGACATCCTGGGTACCAATTTAAAAATAGAAACATCAGG